TGACCTGTGAGTTCCAATGAATCAGTACGTTCCACACTTTATCTGTTTGAATTCCATTCCATTCTGCTTGAGTTCTGCTTGTTCTGCTTGTTCCGCATTTTTGCGGATCCTCATCCTACCTGTGGTAGGGTTGATTAGGGTCGTTTATGCAGAGACTAGCACTCCCCAGTAGCAATCCCCTTTAGGGTCAAACATGCTTGTTCTCAAGTGAGGCCACAGGCAGCAAAGACCCAACTGTGTAGTAGATCGATTTCTCGCTGCTGCACTTGTTGTACCCACACCAGGCGGAATAACAGGATGGAGAACTGGACTTTAGTGGGGGAGATCCGGAATTCCGGATCCAGAGGTACGGGATATGACACCTTCCGAGCTTATTAGCTTGTCATACCATACTGGGAATGACAAGCTAATAAGGTCTGGATCATGTGATGTTGAGGTGCACTAGTGGGCCTGCTGTCAGTCACATCAGCCAAATCAGGGAAAAATTGGGTTTCCTGATGAATATAATCAAATTTCCTGTATTTTTGTGGATTGTTGGAAACTTTGACAAATTTTCGCCTATCTGCAAAGGGACTTGGAGTATTTTACAGTATTTCGACAATTTGAGACAATTTTTGAAAATATAACAAAATACTGATGGGAGGGTTTCCCTGATGACATGACTATGCAAAATATCTACAGAAGTAAGTAAAGAATGAATGTAATGTAGTCTGCCTCTTACCCTTCAAATCGGCACTCCGTAAATGACCTCTGAATGCTCGAAATAACTTCGAAAGCTCGAGTGATCCCTTCCCATCCCACATTTCAATACAGGTGCCTTCATGTTGCTGGCAGAACTTTTGAGCCTGTGCATTGATCATTGTCGGTCCCATTTGGTTTGCTTCCTCTTCTTCAGACTCGATATTCGTATCATCTGTCCTGATCATCTCACCAAGAACCGTGTTGGCAATATCTTTGTCGCTTATAGTGCTGCTGCGGTCCGGTTTGGTCCGGTTCATAGAGGGTTGAGCAAGAACCAAGAACCGAACCTTGGTCCGGTTCTACTAGACTCGCCGAACCTTGAACTGGACCTTTGTGAACAGTTCAAAACAGTCAGGTTCGGTTTTTTTTCGGTTCGAATGCAAACCGAACCCAGTTTTTTTTACAGCTAGCAAAAAAAAACATAGACGTAGTATAATTGGAAGGAACTTTCAACCATGCTTGCAGTACTTGCTAGCAGCATGTAACGACAAGAAAAACTCATTTTCTGGGTCTTTGTCGTGCAAATCTGCACAGGCTGCCGACTACAACTTCAGAGTCATTCTCACACTATATGTTGACAGCAGGCAGGACTGCCATGTGGACTGTTCGCATGCCAGGATTAGATGCATGAATGACATGTATTATGATATCAGTTACTCGTATGTCCTGCAAGAGGGAAGCCCATAAGGCACTGCGTCAAGCACATCAGATTCATCAGCGTGTGATGCGATCTCTAATGAACATGTAGGCTCGAATAGCCAAAAAGGTAGAACGGGATGCTTATTTGCCAACAGCTGCTTAGCCACAGTCAAAATCGTGTCAGAGTTGATAGCCTTGACATGTCCAGCTTCCTTCCAAAGTTTAGCCATGTTGCGCTTGTCCTTTCTGATATTCCCTCCAGTGCTTTGAGGTCTAACAGAATATCCCGCAATCTCAACTCCAGCTCTATTCCACATGAAGTACACAATGCGCTGACACTTACAGTGCTGCCATGGGCACACAATATTTCCCACTGTGTTGCAGATGATGGGGGGACAAGGGGAAAACAGATCTGTGAATTGAATTGGACGCATGAGAACGAGGCATGAATGAATGAACACTAAGAAACCACCAGAGTCACCAGATCTGTCATTATGACAAGGTTGTGGTCAATGATGTAGCGCTGTGCATATACACGAGCGGAAGACAAGGTCAAAACGAAACATGAGGCTCGCTGTTCTGCTAGATCACTGACCAAAACAACAACCAGTGAGAAATACAACCCAGCACGATCCACAGTGTATTCACCATTTGCTATTCTGTATTCTCCAGCATAGCTAATCCATAGCCTCTCGAATGCCAACTCTAAAAAGTAAAGCACCAGTCAATTACACACATATATCACACTCCAAAATGACTCACTCATCAAGCTTCAAGCTTCATAACACCCCAATCATACTGTCTCCGTGGGCTCTCCCTCCTCCTTTGATCCCGTCCTTCATAGCTATGTCTTATCTCTATCGCTGAGAGGCTTTCGAGAGAGTCTTGTCTGTTGGTGAGATGTTGAACATTTGGGGTAAGGAGAGGAGGACCAAATCTGTTTTGTATCCGTAATTAGACGTTCATTATTACATTTTGATTTGAGGGTATGGTGAACAAGAAGAGAACGTACCTGAGGTTCCCCAGCCCTCAACGGGCCTCTCTCAGTCTTGCACATTGATGGCATGTGCTACAGCATGACAGCCATCGTAGTATCTGAGGCAGATGGACCGGATACTCAATGGGATTGATATTGTACCTGCTGCATGTCAGGTTTAGCGAGAGTTTGATCAAAAGGCTCGGGGGACAGGTACTGTTCTGCCCTACGGTTGGTCCGATGTTGGAGTTCAATCCAGGGAATCTCATTATACAGGCAAGCTCAACCGATCACAGTACATATGCAGCGGTGTGCACACCTATGCGAGGTAAAATCATCAGGGGTACAGCACAGCGAGCGAGGCATGCAGTAGCAGCACCAGGGGTAAATTTATGAGGAATGTCATGTATGAGCTGATGTAGGTCCTCACGAGAACATGGTTTGATTCAGGTAATGATGATGGGGAGTGGAGGTAGGTTGCAGAGAGGAGAGTTGGCCCCTGGATGGGATGATGGAGTTATGATGCACTGTAGGGAGGATATGAAGACTGGGATTTCTACTAGGCCATAAAGAGGGTTAGAGAAGTCCAAGCAAGAAAGTAGATGTAGATATACGCACCATAAAATTTGAAAGTCTGTAGACCTCTTCTGGCTCCTCAAGCCTCCCTCTTCCAGCTTATTATAAACAACTTCTCCACGTTTCGGGTGCTTGTCCTCAATTAACTCTCAGAGTGAATGCTATGTAGGCCATGACCAGGCCAAGTTAGAAATGGAGTAGAGGCCTTACAATTGGCAAGTGCCAAGATATTACTTCAGATGAAGAATCCGTGTCAAGTAGCTGATTCTATTTCCTCTGAGCCCTAAGAACTGGATTTCGCTATATTTGCGCATGGCTGAGAGCAACTTACTGCAATGTAATACCCATCTTCCAGACGATCAGATCTTGATACCGGTACTTCTCATTCGTTCTTTTCTTTGTACACGATCAACACCTTGCTGGCAGGTTCACCTCTAGTCACAAACATGAACTCTGCTATCGCACTGTCCGAGTCCCATCTCAATAATTTAGCTCGTTGTGTGTTGCGAGAAGCTCCTACCTCGTCACCTGGTGACATGAATCACCATTGGCGTCCATCCAAACCTCAATGTAATATATCAATCAGTTTATTGAGTTTATTGCGCTTGATTTGACGGTTAATTCGTACCTTGGGTCCTTGAGCTTTATTGGACAGCAGGAGGTGCGGGATGCGAGCCTCCGGACAGAATTCAAAGTCAATACAAATCTAAAGGATCCCAGAAGTCAAAGTGACCATGGGGAACCAGACAGAATTCAAAGTCGGTGCAAATCTCGAGGATCCAGAAGTCAAAATGACCATAAGTGTGCCTCGCCAATGTTGCAAGGAAGCTTCGGTTCGGGGTTCGGAACGGTTCGGGAACGTCCGAACCTATGTCCGAACCGTTCGGGAGACAGCGGACCACGAACCTCATTCCGGTTTGGTCCGCGCAAAATTCAGAACCATGGACCGAACCCAGGACGAACCTGACCATTGGTCAGGTTCGAACCGTGGTTCGGGACCGGACCACGGCAGCACTAGTCGCTTATGTCAGCTGTAAGTCCATTCTCACCAATCTCCTTCTCTTCGGGAGGATCGAGAAGCTCATCCAAAGAGAGTAACTCGCCGTGAATACGGTTCTGTGCCTTTAGATCCTTCGTGGAAGCAACAAGAGACTTTCCTGCAGTCACCAGCCATCGAGATCGTAGCAGTCATCCGTATACGCCACCGCCTGCATACCGCCAGCACACGTCACACCATCCGTTCTAAGATTAGGAAGCGTGATGGTTGAATCTGACACGCTATGAACACTGCGAACATCATATTTGAGACCGTTTACCTTATAGGGGATCGGTGATTCCTCGGGAGTCGACAATGATGTAGCTGAGTACGTTATGCATATGCACAGACCTGCGTGGCACGGCTGACTGGAGGCTAGCTGTAAAATCCCTGGATGATCAGGGCAGGCATCTTACGAGACCCCCTCTTGGTGTCCAGGCTCCAGATTGACGTGTACTCAGCATCTATTCAAGGAAAAACCACCCTGCATGCCAGCGTTGAAACTTGAAATGCTGTCTGGGCTCTACTTTTCTCGAGCAGATATATCGAAGGACGACGAAGGGCGGCATTATGAATTTCTTCCGGACCACCGCCAGAATTGAGAAGACTCGACGATCTACAATACTGTCCTTCAAATAGGAAGTTTTGGACCAGTCCCTCGCGAGAGTCGCTCCCTAAATATTCTCCGATCGCATTCATTGTTTTTGCGACGGCCAGGCGCAAACTTTAAGGCGCAAATCCTCCAAAATCGCGCTGTTTTTTTTCCAGAGTCCTGCGGATTGATCACGGTAAAATTTCGTTTTGTTCCTGACATTTTATCCATGCACTCGACGTTCACACCCGCATTGCCCGTGATGGCGCACGATGAACATTGCAAGCCTGCATGTAAATGAAGATTTATTATGATGTTGGACTGACTGTGACTGTACGTATGGCGCACGGGATGAGTCGCTTAGAGTTGACGTCCGCAGAGGTCAGACAGGATCAGACACCTCCCCGGGAATCATTGAATCCGATTTCTAGAGAATCGGTTGTGGAGCGGCATACATGGGTGTTATGAGGTGGCATGTGACAGAAATATGCCTCGCTCCACCTCGTGAGTGGCAGACGGCAAAAGGTTCTGTCCTCTATCCAAAGCGGTAATGGTGCGCTTCTGACATACGTTATACTAGCTGATGTATATCTTACCGCGTTTCACAGTGTTTTGAGAGACTGAAAAATTCACAGATGTGAAAGAATATTTCGGACTAATCCGAACGAGGGTGTGCAGAGGCGTGCTATAAAGTCTACTGCATGTCCAGAAAGTCTGTATCGACTTATCTGCGAACGCCTTCCAAACACACTCGTCTTCTCACCAGAGACCCCACAATCTTAACAAAATGCGCTCTTTTACTACCTTCACAGTCCTCTTTACGGCTCTTTTGAGCACCTTCACCAACGCTACTCCCATCACCGATCTTGCCTCTGTCAAGTCTGATGTAACCGGTCTGAACAAGCTTGATCTCCCTGCCGTGGGTCGGGAAATCAAAATTAGTTCTTCGGGCGAGACCGATGTTGAACTTCCCTCTGTCGCTGTCGTCTTCACTACTGTCTTCACCCAGATCCAGCCCTTGACTAACCAGCTTAGTAAGTCATCAATATTCGACATTGACTCCAGCATGTCTTATCATCTCCTTAGCCTACCTCACTCCGCAAAACGCTAGCGTTGCTGCCATCTCACCTGTCATCGCTCAAATCAAGACTCAGCTTACCGGTGCTGTTCCTCAACTCCAAGCACTTGTTGGCCAGGAATCCTCAGTCATCCTTGCGCCTGTTGATGGCGTCGTCTCGTTGACCGTCGCCGCACTTGCAACGCTCATTGCTGATGTCCTCACCGTAAGTATTTGTAATGCAACCCAGCTTTTGTTGTTGCTGAGTCTCTGCTTGTAGCTTCTCTTCACTGCTCTGGGTGCCGTGCTCAGTATCGTCGGCGGTGACGTCCACGCAGAGATCCTCCCCCTGCTCACTGACCTCTGTGGCGTCGTCACCTCCATCCTCCAAATTGTTGTCACCCTCGTTGGTGGTATCATTGTCTCCCTTCTTCCTCTCCTTGTTCCTGTTCTCTCTATTATCGTTTCTTTAGGTCTCACAGGCCTCTTGTCCCTCCTCGGACTCGCCCTTTGATGTGTGCCCTGCTATTCAGCGTCACTCATTCTGGCGCTAATTCGACCATATCGTTATTTATACCCCCGCACGATAGGGACGACAAAAGCATAAATTATTAGATCACGAACGTTGCAATGTTGTCATATACTTTAGTGCCGACATTACACGTTTAGCTTTATGATCGGTACATATTTCACGCTCGATAGCGCAACTAGGCAAATTCAGACACTATTTGGCATGATATTCTTTACAGCTAGTGGCTGTCACAAACCAACACCATGGCACGCAAAACGGTTTACAATTCCGCGATTTGAATTGAATCACAGCGAAGGGTCGGCATTATCTGAGCCGGTCAAATTTCATATCTTCCTCGCTGCAACACTCAGTACATATGGTGGCTGTTTGGCTGCTCCACCACTGAAAAGATGGCCAGATGTTTCAGTTCGGTGAGACTTTTTTCGCCCCATAGACTGGGTTCAACTGGTCTGTTCAATCGACGCCACAGCTGAACCACTTTACGATTGAATTAAGTACCTTGTTATCAAGGAGATATATCCGCCGTTCGGATAGCGCGCGCCCTGAGCATGTAGAGTACTCCTATAGCAATCATAAATATTTACTGTCTGGTGTTTGGTGCCGAACATCATGATCACCGCCAACATAGACGCGACCAAGTGGAACCCAACTAGGACCCCAGAAATAGCGTACAACACCGGGGTCCGGCGGGTAAGCAAACTTTTTTATTCACCAATTCCTCATGCACCTGCGGCTGTTTTCATATCTCCGTACTCCAGATCCATCAGGTGATGCATTCCGGGTTTGATGGAGATGTGTCATTATCATGCTTCTCGCTTCTATCCATGTACTCACTCCGAGTCGTAACGCGCGTTCTAAAGGTGAGGATCTGTCTATGTACTCGGGCGTCCGTCTTTAGGTCTGATGGCTAGCTAGTACGATATGACCGGTGACTGTCGACGAGACAGCGTTCATACTGATTCCTGATGCCTGATCCGGTACATCCCACCGCACTGCACACGCCAACAACGGTGAGCGAGCACCTACAAGCTAACCTCGATAATGTAGACTGCAAACAGGTTGCCTCCCCCAAAGTTTCAGTATTCACAATCGAGGTTATTCCAGGGCCCACATATAGCACAATAACACCAGCAAAGGCTAGTAAGCACTTATTTATTCACCAACATTGAACTTGCTCGTAAAACTCACATTCATTTTCATAGCTACAGTTCTTTTTCGTATCTCTAGACTCTCACTGCTCCGACGACGACGACGACGATGGTTGTAGATCCGATGGAGATGCTTCTCGTTCTTATTCATGCACTCCTAACACATTTTCTAAAGGTGAGGATCTGCCTTATGTACTCGGGCGTCTGGGTCTTCCGACGCTGGTGACTGTGGATGAGACGACAGCCATCCTGATATGCCACCGCATCGCAGTGCACACGCCGACGATCATGAGCATACCTCGATGGTGTTCACTAAAACCTGCGATGAAGAGCGGTTCCATCACCGCTTTTAGTGATCACAATCGAGGTTACTACATACATGTCCTACATATGGCAGCTGCTAAGCAAGTACTCGTTCCTCGCAAAGTTAACATTCGCATTTACTCTTTCATCTCCAACTTTTTTTCGTATTTCTCACTGCTCCGAATGCGATGGTGATGATTCCAGATTCGCTGGAGATGGAGATGCTTCTCGCAGTTATTCCTGTGCTCACTCGTAATGCGGTTTCTGAAGGAAGCCCTACGTACTCGAGCGTCTGGGTCTGATGACTGACGACTGACTAGGCCGGTAACTATTAATGAGATCGCATTCATCCTCATACGCCATCGCACTGCATACCACGAGCACCCTGAGGGCACAAGTAACATAACTAACCACGACATCAGCTTCAAGATTCCAAAGCGCGATTGTTGAACCTGACTCGATGGATTTATGAGGCAGCGCTACAGCATATACCCTTGACGTTCCAGTAGTTACTCACCAGTCCATGTGTCACCTATCAGCGGCAAAATCAAAAAGTCCTATCCCCTCCCAAGACTATACACCAATCACATACATCCAATCAACGAACTATAATACAACACGCTATGAACACTGCGAACGTCATATATACTTTTTCGAGGTAACAGGCTCAGCGCTCAGCAAGAACATCCGTGCAGCGTACTTCAATCAACCCTCGTCAATCAACGTACGCAATCCAACGACACTCCTCAAACAATCACACACACACCCAACCAAACAAATCGCACAAATCGCACCCACCCACTACACGCTTACACCCCCTCCATAATCAACCTAAGCGCTTCCTCACTTCTCGGGCGGATATCGCACACGAACGGGCTTGGTGTTCTGTTGGTGTTGGTTAGCGCTCGCTCGTTATGTATGAATTTGGATTTGGGGTTTAGGGTTTTAGGGTTTTAGGGTTTTGATTGGGTGGAGGGATGGACGAAGATGTTGGGATTGTGGACGTCGAAATGGGGTGGGGGGTGGAAGAAGGGGAACGAAGGAAGGCAAGAGAACCAAGGCAAGAGTGAAAGCGTGTGAATGGTGACGAGCAAATGGAAGGTGAAAGCAGGAAATGAACGACTGGAATGAAGATGCGTGGTAAAACGCACAGATAGAATCGAACACGATAACAAACGGGACGCAAAAGAAAAACGAACGCAAGAGAAATCGGAACTGGAATGAAATGAAAACAAGAAGCGCACGAACCCAAACCCAAACCCAAACACGATGCGAAACCACCCACCTAAAAACAGCATTCTCAAACTTGATAACAGGCTCAATCTCAACCCCCCTCTCATCCCTCGCCTTCCTAATATCAAGCGTTGCGAGCATACAAGCCATAAGGAGCCATACTGAGGATTCGACTAGGTGTGTGCCTGGGCATCTCCTGTGTGTGTGTTAGCGTCATGTTGGTTTTTTTGAGGGGAAGGAGGGGGAGGGGAGGGGGAAGGGGTGTAGCAGAGAAGAAACGCAGTATGTTTCGAAACCACCACACTCCTTCCCCTCCCCACCCAAACCCAAGATCGATCAAAGAAAAACACGGAGACTCAGACTCACCGTCTTCCGAATCCAAATACGAACGCTCGAGGATCTGTCTCTTTCCACTTCTCCTCATCCTCATCCCTTTCCTCATCAGGTTCACGCCCATCATAACCCCCACCTCCATCGCGCCTCAACCACCTCCCAGGCTCAAACACATCAGCTCGTTCATAAATCCGCTCATCACGCATTATAGCCCATATATTGCCAAAGACGAGGCTTCCTTGGGGGATGTGGAGGCCTTGGTAAGTGTCGGGTTGGGTTAGTCTGTGTGGGAGGCCTGTGTTTGATGTTTGCGGAGGTTGATGTTGGGGGTAGACGTGCGGGCGAATGAGAGATGGTGACGCGAGCAGTACGAGTGGAGTTGTAGGGAGACAAACGCCAAATCAACAAATGCGCACCCCAAAACACCGATGAAACGAACTCACTAAGCGGAACAGGCACCCCCCATCTAAGCGTCTCTGTAAACACTGCATCGCAATAGGGTAACTTTTCGCGATCTTCGAATGTGGGTAGTCTTCTTGCCGTCGTTTTCGATGTGCCCACTCTATCGTTTACGCCCACCCCATCGTCTACGCCCAAGATCCCACCGTTGCCCAATACTGCATCATCCCCACCCAAAACCGAATCAAGTTCCGCTTGAGCAAGTTCAAGAACATGCGGGTATTGAATAAGAGCGAGGATGAAGTGGGAGAGGGTGCCTAGGGTTGTATCGATGCTAGCTTCGAGTTCGTGCGCGGGTTAGTTTGTTTTTGTGGGTGGAGGGGGGCAAGGCTTACCGGAGTACATGGAATTAGCTGTCCAGCGGATATCGTGATCTAGTTGGGGGTCGTCTGGGGTCGGAACTTGTTTTATCTCAGAGGTGAATGAAGCGTCGCTTGAGGCATCTGAGAGTTTGATAGGTTCGAGGAGTGTTGATACGAAAGAAGGTCGAGCGGTTCCTTTTTTCTGTCGTGCGTTACCTCAGTAAAGAAATGGGAAGGGAGGGAGGGACGTACAATTTCTGCTTTTACGAATGCAAAAGGACGATCTACGAATTCTTGCATTTTATCTTTCCAGATCGAGGCGTTTCGTTTGAAGGAAGCGCCTGGGAACCAGTTGGGGATATATTTCACTAAGTAGAGGGGTAGTATCGATGAGAGGGATGAAGGGGAGGGGACTCACGGGCAGGAAAGAGGTCGACGGGCCATATGCCACCACCGCTTGCGATACGATTTGCAAGGATGTCTACGCATTCTTCTGCGAGGTTCAGGAATGGGTCGTCGTTGCTTTTTACTTGATGACCGTATACGACGAGGAGGGTGAGTGCGCCTGCGTATCTAGTATCCATAAGGAAACAGCGTATATCGAATAGAGAGAGAGTACCTTCGAATATGATCTTGAAATTTGAGTGGACTACTAACCAACCTCTTCAAAAATGGACTAGTCTCCATTTGCATCAAAGGATGATAAGTAGGAATAACAGCAGGTCCAAAGGCCTTCTGCATAAGTTTCCTCTGTCTCCTCGCTCTATCCCCATAGGGAGTAAACGCCACCATATTATCACAGCCACAAAGTTCACCAGCCATGACGAGATGAGGTTTATCGCTATATATCGCGCCTCGTTTATCTAGGAGGTCGAATACTGCTTGTGGGGTGTTGAGGAATATGAGGCTTTGATTGAATATGCGGAGGTGGGTTATGGGACCGTAGGTGTTTGCCCATTTGAGAGCTTTGAGCCAGAGTTGTGTGGGTGTGAGGTCGAGGATGTTGCCTATGAGGGGGAGGGGTTTTGGACCTGGGGGGAATTTGAATGGACGATTGGTGATTCTGGTATAGGCGAGGAGTGCTAGGGCGAAGAGTATGAATGAGAGGAATGCCATTAACTCGTTTTCCGGTTATCATCGCCGTTGTTTATATTGTTTGTTATTACGTGGATATCGATGATTCTTTGTTGGTATAATAGATGCAAGTATCCTAACAGGTTAATCGCTTGCTCATCATTTCCTACTCGAACTCATCAAATACCCGTTTCCTACTCTTTCCCACGGTGAACCTTCTGACCGTCCATGTAGGAAAAACACAACTACCGCCAGTAACACTTCTAGCCGCATTCTCAACGATCACGGAAAAAAATCAGTACACGACTCGGTGCAACGATCGTACCGTTAAATTTGCTGAGAATGAATATCCAACCTTTAGGAGAGTTTACATTACAACACACCGCTCATGCAGCTGCATATTCTCCACGCAAAGCTACTAGGCATCAGTGGGATTCAGACAACGGTACAAAGTCACGACAAGTACGCACCCTTCATTCCTCCCCCTTTCTCTCCCAACACCAGCGAATAACAGAATCACGAATATGATATTTAGGTCTTTCTGTTCGAAACAGAAACACCCAAATATCAGGTTTGCTTTAGATCGGTCCCTATTCGACTTCCACTTCACCGTCCCTTTGATCCTTCTTCTCCTATTCTGCACCCTGCATTTCAACGTATTCCATATACAATCCCGTTCTTTCCCTTCGAGAACCCCGCGATCCGAATTCCTAATTCTTACTCTCCACCCATTCCGATCCTGATCCTTTGTATTTTATCCCAGTACCGGTGATTCGAACGATGAAAAGGAGAAACGTGCTCTGACTCAGAGTCAGAGCTTATTTGACATTCGTCGGATTTAGGAAACACTCACTCGTCTGTATATTAATTACTACGTGGTTCGTTTGAAACAAAAGAGTGATGTTGTCTGATCGTGTATCGGTATGAGACGTGGAGAGGGGTGGGGTGGGTGGGTTTCTCTGGATTGAAGACAAGTTCCTTGGGACTAACTCGTGCCCATCACGATGTTTATCAAACGATTCTTAGATATGCAGGGCACCACTCGAGTGCTCTGACGAGTATCTGGATCTGCATTTGAATATGTCAGTAGACGTTCAAGGATACTTTAACGGACGTACACCACACATCTCTGGTGCTCACTAGGACTGCTAGTTTGGCTTCGGCTTCGGCTTCAGTATGCTAAAGAGGGAGGGTCTATTTGTTTAACGCGTCTTACCAGCACTTCTGGTGAAGCTACCTATGTATTTTGAACTTGACTTTCACCAGAAGCGGAGGCAAGATAAATAAAAAAGACGCCGCACACTCTACTTACACCTCCTGCTAGTGTCGCGGGACTTTGGTGACGCTGAAGAACGGCGGTCTATGTCAAAGCGTCTTACCACCTCTTCTTTGTTTTTCAAGTGTATGAAGTCACCTTCACGAGAAACGCTAGTAAGACGAATAAAAAAGACACCGCCTAGCTCTACATCTTCCCTAGTGCCGCAGGGCTTCGGTACCTGTGACGCAAAAGATAGCAGGCCTTTTATGTGATGCGTCTTACCAGCGCTCCTCGTGAAGCTAACTGCGTACTTTAATGCCACAGTGGGACCTCGCAAGAAGCGCTGGCAAGACCAAAATAGAGAGTATACTAGAGACTCTACTAGAATCTAACATATGCATCGGTGATGAGATGGAGATGATAGAATCCAATAAAGTCATTCAAGTATCATCACCATCTCCAAGTTCACGCCTTCAATGAACCGTTTGCGGATTCATTAACATTCGCATATGGCCCAAAGGCGTATGTTTTCTCCTATATATACCCCCACTCGAAAATCAAGTGTTTGCGCCCTGTTGAAAGAAAAGCGGACTCGCTTCCGCTATCTGTCGACAGGGTACATTCAGTGCTGATAAAACGCCAAAGGTTTCTTGATCCTAGTTTCAAGGCTTGCGCAAGAGAATGGGAAAGGAAAAGGGAGCGTACGGTCAAGTTGCTGTCCCCGACGCCCGCATGTCGTGGAAAAGAGTTGAAATTTTTCTACGCTGCTGACTAAGCTACGCAAATCATGGCAAACATCTCTCTAGATTCTTCGCGGCCCATCGATGAAGTCTATCATCATGATTTACCAAGCGACCGCCAGTAATCACTGATATCATATCTTGCAACCTTGACAGTCTACAATCGCCCGCCTCCATGGGGATACAATACCATATATTGTATCCAGCTGAGGGCGAGCGCTGGTGGGACGGGGGCAAGCTTATCATTGATAGTATCAAGATTCGACATTGCGCATCATGAGGAAAACTCTTGGGCCTTGCGCATAGCTCTAGGAGGCAGTTCTTGACTCAGATGGAAATATAGAGGTAAGTACCGTACAAATTTCAATTCTTGGGAATTGGAAAGAGCTCATCACTCGTCCAAGGGCCGCTCATACCCACCGTTGCTCAGCATTATTCCCGTCACATCCTGTCGCAGATGCTTCTATCTCCCCCATTGTAACTCTTTTCCAAGTTCTCCATATGCATTCTTCCTCCTCACAGTACAAGCCTGGATCGCTCTCATACAGCGGCCCTCGATATCATATATGGAGATAAACACGTGGACTATCATCGTGCGCTTCTTGTTTTACATGTTTATGATTATGTTGCACGATAGCTTTTTTTGCGAACGCGAGATGATTTGGATAGACCTTCGTGATACATCTGGTGGCCCGGCCGCGCCGTGCACTCTTACCCTTGATGTCTGCCGTTTCATCTTACGGGAGAAACAAGTTATTTGATGGCCCCTTGCGGGAAGGCTCAGACTTGGTCTATCTATTCCAAGATCTCCATTACTCGTGCAGTAGCGAAATTTGTTCAGAAGCAAGCATGTTGTTCGACTCAGCAAGGAAGCACTAATAATTCACCCATCGTTAATTCACCCGTCGTATGCGAAAGCAGAAACACGACTCACTGTAGTTCACTATCGCGACATGCCACTCACTCAGCTGGATATACACATTCCCAGAGGACCTACCACGTCGGTGAGTCATGTGGTTGTGTAAATCTAGGATGCAAATTGCTCATGCTCACTTCGATAGTGTCAATACCCATCACGAATACATGCTGGCATGTCCGTCCAGCGCAGCACTTTAGACCTAAGCAAAATCTGGGACATATATCACTGCTTAGGTCAATGGGACTGGCAGATATTGATGCTGTCAAAGCGGCAACAACAACGAGCACAAAGGAGAGATGCATCGTGTGAGGATGTGATATGGATCAAATAAATCTGAATGGAACGGTAGGAAGACGGCTTCCTTTTACGTGCTGAATATCGTTCTGGCAGAACTTCATGGCGATGTAGGAAGAACTTATCTTACGCCAGATATAATTGATCCTAGAACTTCACGCACGGTTATACAGATAGTCCGACCATACCGAGTATGAGAAATAGAAAATTTTCAGAGATGAACTAGAAGGGTATAGACGCATCAGTGCTTCCAAGTCCGCATCTACGCTTGCGGTCGTGTTCTCAACGGCCACAGATGAGACTGCTCCGTATCCCCATGCGTCAATCACTCGCTACCTTCCTGGACCCTCACTCAGTCCCCGGATCAGCATCCTACGAGCTCGTTAAAGCCGTGAAGTCCTTTCGGTCTTATGGCATCATCCACGACGACATGCACCCAAACAACAACCTCGTTTCTGATGGCCACCCTAGGCGCGTGGTACTTATCGACTTTGGGGTGTGTTTTTGTCGCCTTCCTGGGCAGTCAGATGAGAGGTTGTCATATACGAGGGCGATGAGTCGCAACTTCAGCGCTATATGGAAAAGATGGGCGTTTTGGCAGAAGGAGTGGGATAGGGCAAGCTCTCTGCCACTGTTGTACCTTCATTCCTCCGCCTCCCACACTCCATACTCCCTTTCTCTGCAGTCGTTCAGAGCCTTAGTAATACCAGCGAACAACGGGATCACGAATCTGATATTCAGGCTTTTCTGCACGAATATAAATACCCAAACATCAGTTTTAAGACCAGTCCTTGTTTGACTTCTACTTCACCATCTCTTTGATCCATCTTTTTCTCTCGTCATGACCTTGTACCGTCGTCTCGTTGAATCCCAGCACCCGTCCGATTCCTGGTATAGGCTATAGTGACTTTACGTGGAGAGTATGCAGCCGTGTATGAGCGGTACGTTGTCAAAAATCTAGGATCGAAACCGTTTTTTATGCAAGGCTTCCTTGGAGGCGGTTTACCTTTTCATGTATGAAGGTTGGGGTAGATCCGCTCGCCCTCGAATCTGATGATGTATTTGTACGTTTATCGTCTCGCTCGCGACGGTCGACCCATACTGATCAAATTTTGAATTGATTGACGCATTGCTACCGGAATACCGCGGCATTCAAATTTCTCTCCTGGCGACCGACTCCAACATCGTTTTTTTCGTCGAGACTGCTCTTTTGGAGATGGTTATTCACGTAGTATTCGTTCAATAGATCCGTACAAACTTACTTACTACTAATAAAGCAGACTCCCCCCCCCCCCCCACGGCT